AGCAAGATAACAAATTTACATTGCAAAGCAGAGTACGCAAGTCTTTTCGAAACAGAGAAGATTTTTTTTTTTCTTTTTAAGAAAATAGCATAGAATTCTACCATAGGATTTTGTGAAGAAATAGCCGTGTTGGCTGTGCAAGGGAAAGTGGCCCTTTCTGCTCCCGGCTCCAAGGCGGGAGCTTTTGTTTGGGGAGGAACGCACACAGCCTTGCCCACTCCTCCACCTCCCCGGCCGAAAGACATGAGAGCGAGCGCTCGACCCGCGTTGAAGGTTCCTTGGGTCTTGCGCTTCGTTCCTTGCTTCCTCCCTATTCCCAAGTTGCGAGCTTGCGATAGGGGAGTCGTGCGGCCGCCATTGTCGCGGCGGCTCCGGGCTAGGGGAGGCGGCTGTGGCGGCTTATGTAAGTTTCGCTTTGCAGGAAGCCCCGCTGCCTGCACTGTGGCGGCTGCCCGGCGCGCCCGCGGTGTGCGGAGCGTTGGGACGAGGCAGCTCGTGTATGCAGGTGTAGGGGGGCCACATCTTCTCCCCGCCTACCTACACAGACACTGGCCGCGGCCGCCTTCCAGTTTCACTCACCTGAACTTAGCAGTTGGAACATCTCAGTAGAAAAAAGTGGGTCGATGAACACATGGTCACCCTCTTCCGGTCCTCAGAGATATCGAGAGAGAGAGAGAGAGAGAGAGAGAGAGGGGGGGAGACAAGCACACCAAAAAAAAAAAAAAAAAAAGAAGAAGAAAATGAAGAAAGCACATTGATACTCGTATGTTGCCAGGGCTACTGTATGGCTAGTCTTTTCCCTGGTCCCATGCAGTTTTATCCCATAAGCCCCAACGTTGCTAACAGTGGAAGTGTCATTGTAGGAAGGGTTTGCCTGGGCCGTCCCTCTGGGGGTGTCTGTAGGCTGAGACACGTAGAATGGTCAAGTCAGAAGCATCTTTAGAAATAATTTTCCTAACCCTCACGCTGTGCTGATGAGAAACCCCCCTAGTATCCTAGACAGCTCGGTGTGTTCACTTTTCTGTAGAGGGAGTTTTTCATGGTTTTCAGGGTGATGGTCTGTAGGTTAGAGTCCTGCACCACAGTTTTTGTGTAGGATTGTGTGACAGCCCAGTCTTTTGCTCCTACCACACAAAACAGCTTTTTTGTGTGGTCACTGTTCAGAAGAGGAAACTTTTTATGTTTTTCAGGATATTGGTCTGCAGATGAAGTAAGAATTAACCGCAAAAAGCTAAAATTTTTTGAGCCTCCGTGTAGGGATAGAGGTAAAAAATACCTGGATTTCTCAAATGCCATAAGTTTGTACTGAATCACACAGGTGCGGAGAGAAAAGAGCAGCTGCTGTTCCCTCTCCTTTCATACTAACTGTTGGGTGTCTGTACTTCTGTAGCTTTCTCTGCATCTATAAAGGTAAATACTTCCACATGTTTATATGAGCCTGCAGAAAAATACAGAGGGTTACATTCCCAGCAGGAAATGGTGGGGGTAGGGGTCATGGAGCACTTACTGGCTTTTTCTGCATATGTGAAGACACCAGCATCTGTACAAATATGGACATGGGCTTTATTTGTAAGGAGAAATCCCTTAGTTCTCCTGCTCATACTTCCCATTCTCAGTGCACAGCCCCTCCCCTCCGTGCCCCAAGTGCTGCACCTTACCTGTTCTAGTCCGTACCTGTTCAGAACTGAACTTGATGCTGCCAGCCGCCGCCTCTCTGCTCCCAACCTGAAAATGGGTAATTGTGTGACAGACAGAACAAGAAAGAAACGTTTATTTTTAAAAAATCGATTCTTAAAACATTCTGGGTATAGAATTAGGGATAGAGGAAGATCCTACCTCACTTGTGTTTGTCCTTTTCTCTAGGTCTGGCGTGCTCCTGATCAGAGTTATTCTGATCTGAAGATTTTGGTGTTTAAGGCAGTTGCAGGCGGCAGATAATAGCCTGACTTGTTCATGGTAACTATTACTTTGTATATTAACTCTTGAAAAATGATTTGGAGTTTACTTTAAAATATATGTATCAATTTTGAAATTTTGATTATGCATTAGTGCTTTTTTTTCTGTGGGGAAAATGTGTTTTCTCCAGATTTATACTTTGTTGAATAAAAGTAATATAATGTTTTTGAAAAGAAAATGTACAGAACACATTATTTTAAAAAGAATTCTTTAACGTGGTGACAGGTCTTTCATGCCTGTTCTAAATTTCTTTTGCTTATGAAATACTCACAGCACTTATCAAGTGTGTCCAGTGTTGATGACACTTTTATCTGGATGGCAGGTAGATTAGCTTCTGGGGGAAGGAAGTACTCATTGTCTTCCCAAATGTTATCTCATTCTCTTAGGGTCAGATTAAACCTTGATCCTCATTCAGAAGTGATCCAAAACTGTAGTGGAAAAACTAGAAGACAACACTGAATGGAATATTTTGGCAGTGATGTCCCTCTCTAGTTCTTCAACAGTATGTTAATCTCTTCTATCAAGGAAGTATAGTCCTGAGCACTTACTGGTTATTTTACTGAATTCTCCGTAGATGAAATTAGAGTAGATGCAACAGACAGGACTGTAGAGGATTCTTACTTGGAAACTGTGTCTTAAATCCTGAAGTTGAGTTATTTTCATTATTACCTATAGTTATCATGAAGCATGGGTTTTGGAGCGAGATTGCCTGGATTCAAGTCTCAGCTCTCCATTAAATAACTACAGAATATTGGGCAGGTTTCTAATTTCATCTATAAAATGGTAATACCTACCTCCTAACGTTATTTGAACATTAAATTAATTAAGACATGTAAAGTACACAGAGCGATGCCTGGCATGTACTATGTGCTAAGTAAAAGTTGCTATCTTCATTACTGTAACTAAGCAGACAGTATGTAAATCCCTAAGTTGGGATCAGTCTTTTCTCCTCATATTCTTGGACCACTCTTAACATTGACTTTCTGAAATCGTTAGGTTCCAAACATTGATCAGAGAATGAAAATCTGTCTGTGTTTTCTGTATGGAAAAGTATCATTTATAATTACTAAACTTTCCTTTTAAAAAAATGTCTTGTAGGAGTTTTTCATCAGTATGTCTGAAACCATTAAATATAATGACGATGATCATAAAACTCTGTTTCTGAAAACACTAAATGAACAACGCCTGGAAGGAGAATTTTGCGATATTGCTATTGTGGTTGAAGATGTGAAATTCAGAGCACACAGATGTGTTCTTGCCGCCTGCAGCACCTACTTTAAAAAGCTTTTCAAGAAGCTTGAGGTTGATAGTTCTTCAGTCATAGAAATAGATTTTCTTCGTTCTGATATCTTTGAGGAGGTCCTGAACTACATGTACACAGCAAAGATTTCCGTGAAAAAAGAAGATGTTAACTTAATGATGTCATCTGGTCAGATTCTTGGTATCCGATTTTTGGATAAACTCTGTTCTCAGAAGCGCGATGTATCTAGTCCTGATGAAAATAATGGTCAGTCAAAAAGTAAGTATTGCCTCAAAATAAATCGCCCCATTGGAGATACTGCTGACACTCAGGATGATGATGTGGAAGAAATTGGAGATCAGGATGACAGTCCTTCTGATGACACAGTAGAAGGCACCCCTCCAAGCCAGGAAGACGGCAAGTCACCTACAACAACGCTCAGGGTTCAGGAAGCGATCTTGAAAGAGCTGGGGAGTGAAGAGGTTCGAAAAGTCAACTGCTACGGCCAGGAGGTAGAATCCATGGAGACCCCAGAATCAAAAGATTTGGGGTCCCAGACCCCTCAAGCCTTGACATTTAATGATGGAATGAGCGAAGTGAAAGATGAACAGACACCGGGCTGGACGACTGCTGCCAGTGACATGAAGTTTGAGTACTTGCTTTACGGTCACCATCGGGAGCAGATCGCCTGTCAAGCCTGCGGTAAGACATTTTCTGACGAAGGCAGGTTGAGGAAGCATGAGAAGCTCCACACGGCGGACAGGCCGTTCGTTTGTGAGATGTGTACCAAGGGCTTCACCACGCAGGCCCACCTGAAGGAGCACCTGAAAATCCACACGGGCTACAAGCCCTACAGCTGCGAGGTGTGTGGGAAGTCCTTCATTCGCGCCCCAGACTTGAAGAAGCACGAGAGAGTACACAGCAATGAGAGACCGTTTGCGTGCCACATGTGTGACAAAGCCTTCAAACACAAGTCCCACCTCAAGGACCATGAAAGAAGGCACAGAGGGGAGAAGCCTTTTGTGTGCGGCTCCTGCACCAAGGCGTTTGCCAAGGCATCCGATCTGAAAAGGCACGAGAACAATATGCACAGTGAAAGGAAGCAGGTTACCCCCAGCGCCATCCAGAGTGAGACGGAACAGTTGCAGGCGGCAGCAATGGCCGCCGAAGCCGAGCAGCAGCTGGAGACAATAGCCTGTAGCTAGAGGTGGAGGGACGGGACACTGCCTGGGGAGCGGGGACTGAGATCCCACTGATCACTGAGGAATGCCAGTTACCGTATTTTTGTGGAAATGTCTGGAGCATTGTACTCACTGGACTTAGGGCAGTGCTGGGTTAGGCATTTTTAAAACTTTTCAAGGAAATAATGTTCCTACATTCTGACCAAACAGTTTCACTGTCCTGTCTGGTGTCTAGAATTAATGTTGCCCCTCTTTTTTTTTTATGATTTTAATTTGTGAACTCCTGTGTCCAATTTAGAAGAGAGAGACTTCTATTTCATTTCTAGTTCCTCTACACTCACCGCACTGGTGAGTGCACTGCACAGAGTGATAATTGAGTAAATTGATTTCCTAATCATCACAATTTTTTGTGACTTATGGTCAAAACAGCATTTTTCATAATAGAAGTACTTCATATAGATGCAGAAAATATTGGTGGGAGCTTGACCGAGAATGTTGCGCAAATAGGAAAACAAGTTCTGGAAATGCAGAATGGTATTAGATTTATATTTGGTTTGTTAATTTTATATCATTGTTTTTCACTGTTTTTGTGGACAAAGAATGGTTGCTTTGCTGAAGTGTTTCTTCATTCATTGTGATTGCCTTGTCCCTTACCCCCAAAACTGTGGTCACATATACTGATGGCTAAGCACACCCACCAGGCTGTTTTTGGTCTTGGGGCTAAGTTCTTAGGTTGCTATTTTTGGGGCATTTCCACTCTGCACTAGCTGGGGTTTGTGGAGTGGACCAGAAGTTAGAGGCATAGAAAAGGCTCTCAGAGACAGGGTTTTCACATGTGCAACAATTTCAACATTTCCTAGATCAAAATAATTCTTAATTGATTTTGAAATTGGATTTTTATTTAGGATCAAAATTAGGACAAGAACAGATGTGCTTCTTCAGATAATATTTGTGTAACATAACAGGATGTCATCAAGCTTTGGGGCTCTCTGCAGCACGAGTTATCCATAAAGAAGATGCAATATGCTTACTTAAATTAATGAATTTAAAGTCTTTTAAGTGTGTAAATAGTAGTGTTGGTCTTAACTATTTCAAGTAAAAGTAGACAGCTGCACTTTTTTTGCACATTGGATTAAAATAACTTCCATCAGCAACAAACATCAGACTGTTTTGAACCAATATTAAAGACTGTGAGACTAAATGTTTATGTTTCTGAAATATATTTCATCACTGGTTACAGTTTTAAATAGAAGTTGATTGCCTTTTCATAGCCATAAATCAGAATTATGAACTCTGTTCCAGTTTTGGTGTACTAAATATTCTTTTAACCATTTCTTTAGGAATATATTGAAGCCAACAACAGTTTGAATTATGTTCTGTAATAAGGTATTAGTCAATTATTTTAGAATGTGTACAATTGTAGAAAATGTCAACTTTTAAAATTTATTTTTGGTTGCTAGGATTTTTTTTTAAAATACATTAAAGTAATTTCATTTCATAGCTTATTGCATTAACACCTGTAATTACTATTGTGGGAGAAATTTTATTTTTTAAATTGGTGTATATGTTATGCCCAAGATTGTAGGATGAAGATGATACCTTTTTTAAAAAATTTATTTATTGGTAAGATGTTTAGTTTAAAATTAATTTAATTCCTTTTCTTGAAAGTTGTTTATTCTGTACTAAAAATAGTCCCGTCACTGTGTTTTATATGCTGTTAGTAGAAGGGGAACTGATTGCTGTTCCTGGGCTGTTTTAACCAAAGCAAAGGAAAAATAACATCTTGTTGATAGCTACAACAAACCATATTTTGGGCCTTCATTTTTGTATATAAAAAAATATACTTTTATCATTCCTGTTTTCATTTTTTCATAGCAACCTTCCACACATCCAGGTTTCTACCAAAATGTGTTTTCCATACTGTCTTCATAGTTTCAGAGTTGTAAGTTAAACGTGGTATTAACCACCATTGAAACCACCTAATCACAGCGATGCATCCAAAAACAAAGCTTAATTTTCAGCACTTGATTTGTATTAAGCAAGTATTTATCATTCGGCCTATTTTGCCTGAGAAATATATTTGTGTTATAATTTCTGCTGCTCGCACTGGGTTTGTATGTGTTTAAGGGTGCATGTTTTCTTTTTCAGTTGTGTTTTTGGAGGCAGCACAGTCATAACATGGCACTTCTCCTGTTTGGTGGATCCTAATCAGTAACATTGCATCTCTCCACACCCGGCTGGCTTTCGTAGTCCCCTGGATAGTGAAGCCATCACATATCTTCAAGGTCACCTCCAACACTATAGGGAGTTAATTCTGAAATGTGCTTACTCTGAATCTGCAATGTAAGAGGAAAGGAAATTCTAGATATCAAAATTCCTACCTTTCATTATTTACAAATCAACTTTGTATCCTATTTGTACAAAGAATGTCCATGTATCCTATTTGTACAAAGAATGTCCACAGACTTGATGTTAAAACTTTTATGCTTAAGTTGCATTGTATTGTCATTGATTGAGGAAGGGAATTTTAGGAAGTCTAAGGTGACTTGCCTGCTGTTAACTCAAGTGCTAATTTAGAATTGTTAGAAATTACAAAGATTGCCATCAAGTGAGCTTGATACTTGCAAATCCCTCCTGTTTTTGTTGGGGAAAAAAGATTGAGGTGAGGGAAAATGATATAAATTTATGACTTTCCAATTTAATGGGTTGTGTAAGATTGTCTGTAACTCAGTCATTTGGAACCTGGAATTCATTTTCCTGTGGGTAGTGTTGAGCTTCCAGAGTAGCTGTAAAAGCCTACTGTGTCAGTGGAATAGAACTAGTATATTCAGGGGTGTAGGGTGGAGTTCTGAGTCGGAGGAGTGTGGGAGCTGTGGCTTCCAGGAAAGAGAATGGAAGGCTCTCACGTTCCTCTCTGAAGTCTCTCTTTTTGCATGCCCCCTTGTAACTGGGAACTTTCTCCCCCTTGGGACGGTTCAAAATGAGGTTAATCCTGGAGGTACAGAAACAGAAGAGATTTGACCCCTGGCTAGCGGAGTGAGTGTATCCCTACCCAGTCTTGAGAATGGCATTTGCCCATCACCTTTTTATTCACGACCTTGATGTTTGCCATACTGATTTCAGGGGCCATGGATGTAATTTATCTGAGTTGTGACAGATTTCAGCAGTTTGATGTTTTCATGATGTCTTTAAGAGATACTCCTAATTACTGATGTTTATTTAAATCTTTCCAGTATAACAAGAAGGGGGTGTATTTTAGTAGAAAGACTTCAAGTCAAATTTGGATTGGGATCCTGGTTCAGCTTTTCAGTTAATGTATAAGTTTATACAAGTTCTTACCAACCTGGAGCCTTAGTTTCATCTTTTCTAGAATAGTGATAGGGATTTCTGCTCACAGTTTGCTGTGAGGATTAATGTGATAACCAGTACAAAACATTTAGCCCAGCACTTAGCACTTTTTAGGTGTGCCATAAATGTTCCCTGCTTCCTAAAGAGCATTCTCAACAGAGAAGGTAGAAGCCAAATTGAAGTTCTCTTTTGCTTTTGGCATCTGTCATTTCTGCAACTATTGGCCCTGAGTGGTAGACCTAGACCTTAGTAGATCTTAACTGAGAATGTCTACAGAAGCTGTGTTTGTCTTAGCATTTTTGCAAACATCAACCCATTTGCGGATTTGTTCTTATAAAACCTGTATATTCGCCTTAAAGTTTTCTTTAGTTTTGTTATCTATCATTTGTATGTGTTTAAGTAGGCAATTGGAGTGTGGTCAAGTGTGGATGACTCCTGCTTTTTTGGGGGAACATCTGTGATGGCAGAGCCAGAATTGCAATTTTGAGAGCAGACTTGAGTCTCATACGTGAATCATGCATTAAAAAAATTTTATATTAATACTTTAAAACAGTTGGGTGTATTTCAGTCTAGTTTGTATAAATTCCAGGATCTATTGCTTTCTAAGCCCAAAGGAACTCAGAATTCTGATTTTCCTTTTAGTTCCAGAGTAACAGTGTACGGAATCACTTTGCTCTTTGGAGGACATTTCCATTAACCTTACCCAGAAGTACTTTCTACAGAGTAAGATGAAAGTGTATCAGTCAACATATGCTTACTGAATGCCTCGCATGTGCCAGGCCTTAGATTGGGTGTTCGGATGCATCCTTGAGTGAGACCACCACCATTCCTGCCCTCTGGAGCTTACTATCCAGATGGAGTGCTCAGCTTTCCAAGTCTTACAAAATTTTACGAAGTTTTGCAAGTAATTTAATGATTACAAATGTGCAAAATGTTTAAAAAAAAATCGTTTGTGGTATGTATTTTAAGAAGGGTTTTTAATAAATTGGCATGATTTTTAATGGTACAAAATAAACATTTTCAAGTGGCTTTTTAAAAAAACTTTATTTTTAAAAAAATTTTTTGGCAGCTGGTTGGTTTGGGGATCTGAACCCTTTATCTTGGTGTTACATGGCTGTGCTCTGACTGGGTTAAGTAGCTAGTCCTCAAATGACTTCTGAATATATACTGAGAAAATATGTTTATTAAATATTACCATTTCCATAGAATGATGTTCATTTTTTTATATTGATACTGAATTTCAGGAAGAGGATAGTAACATGAGACTAAGGTATATTTTTAAAAGTGGATCCTGGCATTAAGAAAGATCCTGATGCAAAGAAAATTAGAGGAATAAAGAATGACAACCTGGGCTTCCAGCAGCTTTGAACAAGGATATTACTAACTCTGAAGGTTTGACAGGAGGAAGCACCATAAGCAAAGAGTATACCCACACTGGCTCAAAAATGACCAAGCAGCGTCAGTAGGTATTCCCTTAGCGCCCACTGACCAGTTAAGGATGACTGTATGGGATGGGATAGCAAGTAAGCTAATGGAAATCTGAAAATTAAAGATAATTTCCTCTGTTGGCTTTAGATCACCCAAGGCTGCCTGTCATTTTAATGGAATTCTGTGAAAGCATTCCGTGCAATTGGACTTACTTGGAATGTAGTAATTTTCTGTTTCAGTTGGAGGGCAGAAGCCTCCTATGGGTGATTTCTAGAGGTCATTGCTGCTTTTTTAAAAAATTTTTCCCTCTCCTCACTTTGAATCTCAGTCACTGGAGAGATGGTCAAGAAGATCAGGATTTTAATAATAAAACCTAATATATGTTGGATATTTACCAAGTATCAGACACTATATACACAATCTGTTTTATGACAAGTCTCAAGTATTATTCTGAAGACACCAGGACTCAAAAGATGTTAAAAATCTTGCCCATTGTCAAGTCCTTGTCAGAGCCAGGGCAGGAGGACAGGCCGGTCTGCCTCCAGAGTTTGTGCCCTTAGACACCATCTCTTTTGACCTCAAACTTGAAGAGGAGCAGCTGTGTCCCTGCACAGGTACTGGCCAGTCCACTGTTAGGCAGATGGTGCTGGAGGAGAGGCGTTTATGCAAACAGCTGCCCCTAGGTTTCTATACTAAATTGACCCAATATTTGATTTCTCCAAGATGTCTCCCGTGTAGGGGGCCAGATACTAAACCAACATGGTTTTACCTTGCTTCAGTTCTAGAGCTGTCCCCAAATAATATGGAACTGCAGATAGAATGTCAACAGATGATCGCTATCTAACACAAAGCTACCGGTCAGCTTTCTTCACATGTTCTGTTACGCAGCGAGCCAGAGAAACCCCACAAGACCAAAAGCCATCTAGTTCAGGGCCCAAGGTATCTGTGTAAAAATGGTCATCTATGTTAGGAGATCTCTCCACTCACACTTGCCCTTCCTTGCCTCCTTTCTCTCTCTGAAAGATGTTAGAAAACTTGAATTCAGGTACTGCCTCCAACTGCTTTCTAACTATGTCACCACGTTGGAATCGTTACATGATATTTCTTAATCTGCCAAAATGCGAATAATGATTCCCTGCACAGTTTACACCACTCTTGCTTATTCCAAAAGATAAGCTCACTTTTCTTCCATTAGTAATAGATAAGAAATTCAACTGTAAAATAAGAAATATTTGACTTAAGATATTACTGACCTCAAGCAAGATGACAGATATGGTTAGAATCGTTGGAAGTTTAACATTTGGGGAAACTGATCACACTTCATTCTCAGGCTGTTTACATTTAATTAAATAAGGAATATGTGTATGAGTGCTGTTTCTTTTAAATCTGGTAATCTTTGGCTATTCTGTTGTTTCTGAAATCTTCCAGCCAGTATGAAACAGGAAATATTAATCAGGTTGGAAGCTATTGGATCAATTGGCATTAGTGTAAACAAGATTATATTTAATAGTCTGGATACCTTGTAATAAAATGTGGAGCTGAAAAAAGGAATGAAAAGCAGTAGGGCTGAATTAATTTTAGATGCCACATAATTAATCATTATTTTACCAAACTTACTTCTGTGAGTTATAAGATCTATAAGATTTTGTTTTTAAGTGATGCATTAATAATGCACAGAAAGAAATTTTAACTTTTGTGATAGGGTGGAACTAGACTATATGCTAATTAATATAATACCTAACATCTGCAGAGGGCTTTACAATTTACGTTATTCAATTAGTCCACAATATTATGAGGTAGGTATTACTATTCTTGTTTTATGACTCCCCCCCAAAAAAACCCCAAAACTCAAACCTGGGTTCTTTGACTTTGGTAGTTGTCTAATGGCCTGAAACAGAGTAATTATGTATGTATAGGATCTATTCATTGAGTTTATATAAAGCTTTTGGTTCTTCCTAAAACTTCCTAATATAAAAGCTGAGATCTGAGAGATTGAATTTAAAACTCCTGAGTTCCTAAATTTGTTGCTATTTATTTTTACTACATATGATCATCTATCAGTTGTCTTCCAGTATC